CCCTGAGTAGCTGGGATTACAGGCACATACCACCACACCCAACTAATTTTTGTATGTTTAGTGGAGATGGGGTTTCACCATGTTGGCCAGGATGGTCTTGATCTCCTGACTTCGTGATCCGCCCACCTTAGCCTCCCAAAGTGCTGGGATACCAGGCGTGAGCCCCGGCGCCTGGCCGGATTTTTTTCATGTGAAGCCACAAATCCATATTTTATGCAAATTTTCCTAATTTTAAACTTGGGCAACTAATTCAAACATTTGTAAATATTGTGAGTCAGATTCAGCCTTTGACTTGCTGGTTTGCAATCTCTGGCATATACCGTATTCTAGACTTTGGGATTGTGAGACAGAAGAATCTGTCCTAATCCTGCCTTTGCTACTTACTAAACTCAGTTAAGAGCTTAGGCAAGTAGTCTCGCTTCACTAATCTAAAAAGTTCTAATGATTTCTTCATCAGGTTATTTATTTTACTCATAATTTCATTATAAAATTTTTCAAACAAAGAAAATTTTTAAGATTTTACGATGAACATCCATGTACTTGCCACCTAGATTCCACTATTAACATTGTTCTGTACTTGCTCTATCATACACCTACCCACCTATCCAATCATCAATCTATGTTGCTTTCTGATCTGTTTCAAAGTAGTTGCAAACATCAGTGTACACCTTTTTTTTTTTTTTTTTGAGGAATAAATCAGATGATTTGGATAGAGCAGCAAGCCCAATATAGCACAAGGACAAATGTCAGAGTCCTCCTCACTCCCTTCCCTCCATCTATATATACTGTATAGAGCATCAATGTTGTTGGACCCACTGAGAATGTCTGTACATGTGTTCATTCTGGGGGAAGAGGGAGATTTTGACAACAACCTTTTCATCAAAATTCTGTTGGCTTCTACCTTTAAAATGTCATTTCCCTCTCACCCACCCTCTTATTTAAAAAGCAAAACAAAACAAAAAAACCTTGAGTATAATAAAACAAATATAGGAAGACTTTAGAGTTGGAGAGGAGGCAACGGACTGGTAAGGAAAGTAAGGATACTGTAATGAGTTTCCAGGACTTATTCTGTTTTATTTTTGTTTTCTGCTCGTTATGTATTTTTAATGGAACACTGGAGGAACTGCAGCCTGGAACTGCCAATAAGTATGGACAAAAAGAGCTCCGAGTAAAACCTGCTCCCTTGAGATAAATGACTGGAAAATACAGATAGCCAAATAAAACAGGAAAACTTTTTGATAATACTGACCTACGCTAGCCAAACACCAAAGAAAAACCTGTCCCCTCAACCCTGCAGTGTCAGCGGTGCTGTGCAGAGGGCTAGATTTCTGGCTCTACCAGGGGCAACCAGGAGAGGCAGCTCTAAGATGGCCTTCCACTTCCTCCGCCAGGCTGTTGTCAGCAGGCAGAACAAGAACTGGCAGCATCTCCATCTGGCAGCAAATAGGCAGAACAAGGGGGTATGAGGTGGTGCTCGTCAATACTCCACTTTCCAGTGGGGAGCTGAACTTGTACTCTTACCCAGCAGCAACAAGCTGGCATGAGATGGCGTTAGTTGGCATTCCATTCCCCTACTCCTAATGTTGATGGGGGCCAGCAAGAAGCTTAATTTCCACCCCTGCTCAGTGGCAATGAAGTAGAAGGCGAAAGAGGAAAACTGCTAGATGGCAAACCACTCTGCCTGCTAGGGCAGTATCAGCAGGGCCTTGTGGGGAGCTGGGCTGCTACCCCCATGTGGAGGTAAGGAAACAGAATAAGGTGATCAAGGCAGTACTACTCAGCACCCGATATTCTCTCCCCCATTGGTGTGCATGGATCCGAGGGAGGAGCTGAACTTCTACTCCCACCTAGTGGCGATGAGGTAGAATGAGTGGAATGCTCTGCCTCTCCCTCGCTGGTATTTCCGTGACCAAGGGGGAGCTGAACTCTCATGCCAGCCAGCTGCAAGAGGAGTCTATTTTACAGCAAAAGAATCCTTTGCAAATGGAAGTCAGGTCAAGTTATTTTTCCAGCAGGCTCCCCATTTCTTTCAGAGTAAAATCAAAGCTATTAAAATGGCCTACAAGGCCCTACAGGATTAATTAATGCACTATTGTCTCTCTGATAGTGGTAGGCAAAGTTCTAAGAGGGACCCATGATAGCTACCTCCTGGTGTTACTCCCACAATTAAGTTCTTATGGAAGAAAAGGGATTTTGCAAGTGTAGTTAAGGTTACTAATCGGTTAATCTTAAGACAGGAAAAGTATCTGGGTAGGCCTGGCCTAATCACATAAACCCCTAAAAAGCAGAGAGTTATTCAGCTAGTTGGAGAAGAGGAAGAGAGAGTTTCCAAATGTGAAGAGGATGCATTGTGCCATTACTGGCTTGAAGACAGAGGGAGCCAAGTGGTGAGGAATGTGGGTGGCCTCTAGCAGCTGAGACAGGCCCCAGTTGATGGCCAGCAAGGAAATGGATACCTTATTCCTTGTGATGGTTCATTTCATGTGTCAGCTTGACGGAGTCATTGAGTGTCCAGCTATTTGGTTAAACACGGTCCTCAGTATGTCTATGAGGGTGTTTCTGGATGGTATAAAATTGCAAATCAATAGACTGCATAAAGCAGATTGTTTATCACAAAGTGTGTGATCCTCATCCAGTCCACTGAAGGCCTGAATAGAATAAAAAAGCAACGTGAGGGAGAATTTGCTGCTGCTTTCTGATTGTCCTCAAGCTGGGACATCAGTCTTCTTCTGCCTTCACACATAGTCTCCGCCTGCAACTATTTAATATATATCACTGGCTCTCCTGGGTCTCCAATTTGTCAGCTGCAGATCCTGGGCCTTATCAGCCTCCACAGCTATAAAAACCAATTCCTTATTGTGTATATGTATATAATATAGATGTGTGTAGGAGTGTGAGTGCGGGTGCCTATTGGTTTTATTTCCCTGAAGAACCCTGACTAATACAACCCTACAACCACAAAAAACTGAATTCTGCCAACAACCTAAATATATTTTGAAACAGATTTTTTCCCAGAAACTTGCAATAAAGCTCAGCCTGGCTGGCACCTTGACTTCAGCATAGGTAGACAACATGGTCAAGTCCACCCAGACTTCTGACCTACAGAACTGAAAGAGAATAATGGCTGTGGTTTTAACCTGCTAGATTTGTGGTAACTTGTTACTCAGCAGTAGAAAACTAATACGGTGACTTCATCGCTTACCATTCTCCCTTCCTCATTCACTCAGTTCAGCCACACTGGCCTCCTAGATCTTCTTTGGCAACACCAGGCACCCTTCCGTGTTAGGATCTGTTTAGCTGATCCTTTCCTCTGGCCAGAATATTCTTCCTTTTTATAGTAACATGATTAGTTTCCTCACCTCTTCAATCTTTTCTCAAATGTCACCTTCTCAATGCATCCTACCCAGGCCCTCTTCGCCACAAGCTATCCCTCCTACACTGTCCTGCAATTTTTTTTCTACCCAGAGTTTTTACTGCCTTCTAATATGGTATATAATCAACTTATTTATTGTATCTATTGTTTATTCGTGATCTACCTTCATTAGAATGTAAGCCCACAAGGGCAGGGATATTTGTTTTGTTTGCAAACATTCTGAGCACTTGAAACACCTTCCTGGCAGAGTAGGTGTTTACAAAGTATCTGTAGAACGAAATGAGTTAACTCTTTGACACTTCATCTCTGACTTAATGCGTTGTTATCTAATTTATTATTTACAGTTCAAGTTGTGATGTGCATTTTACACTCTTCCTCATAATAAGGCATGTATACATAATGCATCACTTGATGCATGAAAATGTGATAGCAAATAACAAATTCTTTTTGTAGTCATTAGTATAAAGTATATTGGATGGCTCTTATTCTTTCATCATTAAGAGCTGGAAAATAGAAGATGGACTGAGATGTTTGGGAGAGGAGGGTGCATGATACAAATAACAACTTGCTCAAGCCTAAGACTTGCAGAACACTTTTTAAAACTACTGATACAGAATTTGAAGTAAATGCCTTTTAAGAATTTTTACATTCTACAATTCCATATTATTCTGACCTCTACACAAACTCAGTGAACTATTGGCTCAAAATTTGATCTCTGACCTTTTCATTGATGACCCTTAAATATGTATTTATAGTTCTCTCCAAAGACCCATATTCCTGTCCTTCATCTCCAGCTGCTTCAGAATGTTGCCGCCTGGATATACCACTATTTCCTGTAACTGAGTATGTCCAAATCATACTCATCCCATGATCCTGGATTCCACTCATCTCTCTTTTTGCTAGTTGCTCTCTCTCCTTTTTCCAATGTCTGAGTCATCTCTGGACCTACTGCTTCTCCCTTCAAATTTCCTTTCATGTTACCCTTTTTAAAATTCTCCCTGCTGTCACCCTTGTTCAGGCTGTGACTTCCTCACAGCTGGATTACTAGACAGCATCCCAAATGATTTTCCCACCTCCCGTCATATCTGTACTTTCCCTTCCATCAGCCCTCCATAGGACCATCTGTTAATTTTCTAAAATGAATTTAAATATTCTTAATGTCTCAGAATCTTCCAATGAGTCCCCATGGCTTACACAGTAAATTTTAATTAACAATCAAACAAACAGCAAACCCGCAACCTGGCATATAAGGTCTTTCATGATCTGGGAATTCAACCTAGTCTCTTGTCCCCAGAAATCCCTCTATCCTTTTGTGTATGTCCGTCCTACTGAGTACTACTGTGGTGCGCAATACAAAAACAGATGTTTTAAACAAAAATAGAAGTAAAGATTGTTTAAGAAACCTTTTTAGAATGAAGGAATGATTTTACATGATATTTTGGCTGTTGTTACAGTGAGGAACTCAAACATTCCTGATATTAGCCTCTTTCTTGATATGTGAATGTTAATTTGAGAAACAACCTTATAAGTAGGGAATTGCTGATATCATTTGTCCCAGTGAAGGTAAAAGCAACCTAAATCTTAAATGGATCATCCTCTAAGCTGTGTTCTCTATTTCTTTCTGCAGAGAACCCCGCAAGGTGGTCCTGCACAAAGGCTCCACTGGCCTGGGCTTCAACATTGTAGGTGGGGAAGATGGAGAAGGTATTTTTGTATCCTTCATTCTGGCTGGTGGACCAGCAGACCTAAGTGGGGAGCTCCAGAGAGGAGACCAGATCCTATCGGTGAGTATGTTTCTTTAATCTTTATTCCCTCCGTATTTGACACCATCAATGAAAAGTCATAACGTTCAATTATGACACCAGAAGAATCTTAATTACAAAGGAAAACGGATGAGCGCATCATGGCTTCAGGTACATGTCACATTTTTGTTTGTTTGTGTTTGTTTTGTTCCTTTTGGGACAGAGTCTTATTCTTTCTCTTGCCCAGGTTGGAGTGCAGTGGCACAACCTCAGCTCACTTGCAACCTCCGCCTCCTGGGTTGAGGCAGTTCTCCTGTCTCAGCCTCCCAAGTAGCTCAGATTACAGGTGGCCACCACCACACCCAACTAGTTTTTATATTTTAAGTAGAGACAGGGTTTCGCCATGTTGGCCAGGCTGCTGTCAAACTCCTGACCTCAGGTGATTCTCCCACCTCAGCCTCCCAAAGTGCTGGGATTACAGGCATGAGCCACTGCACCTGGTCTACATGTCACGGTTTAAATGATGTTCAGGTGCTTGAGGCTTGTTGCACTTACGTCCATCAAATAAAGGTGAAGTTGCTAATGTTTTCTTCTAGATGCCCTGAGACGCATTTGCATCCAACAGACTGTTGAGAAGCATGCCTTTTTAAAATGATATGTTACTTATTTTATTTAAAAAACAGATTTTCCCCCAAAACTCATGACCATACTCTAAACACTGCACCTTTATAATGTGTATAGTTTGGTGCAGATGTAAAAAAAAATGCGTAAGATAGTGCTATATACAGTTTGCTGATGGTACTAAGTTGTAGCAGTGGCACCATTCAACTCAGTTCAAGAATTATCAGCAACAATGTATTGAACACCTTTTTTTTTTTACTTTTAAAATAATTTCCACTTTTAGATTCGGGTGTACACGTGATGTTTCTTATATGGGTATATCACGTAATGCTGAGGTCGAGAGTATAGTTGGTCCCATTACCCAGGTAGTGAGCCTAGTGTACCCAGTAATTAGTTTTTCAATCATTTCCCCTTTCCCTCTCTCCCCACTCTAGGCGTCCCCAGTTTCTATTGTTGGTGTCTTTATGTCTATGAGTATCCAGTGTTTAGCTCCCACTTGTAAGTAAGAACATGTGGTATTTGGTTTTCTGTTCCTGTGTTGATTTGCTTAAGATAATAGCCTCCTGTGGTATCCGCGTTGGTGCAAAGGATATTATTTCATAAGTAATTTTCAAGGCTACTTTATGAGATAAGATTCGTGACAGAAAAAGTTGTAGATACTTAATGTCGAATTTGGAGATATGAATGCAAGCGTGAAAGCATCACCACAATCTATGCCATAAACACATCCATCACTGCAAAAGTTTCCTCCTATTCTCTTCTCTATTATTAATGTTTTCCTTTTGTGATAAGAACAATTAACATAAGATCTACTCTCTTAGCAAATGCTTAAGCAAGCAGTATTGGTGGCTATAGGCACTACATTGCTCAATAGACCTCTGACTTTTCTTGCATAGCTATTAGTTTATGCTTCTCACAATCACTCTGAAAGGTACTGCCCCATGTTCAGAGGAAGATAAACTTTGAACTTTAGTCAGGTCTCCAGCAGTAAGTTGGCTTTAGTAAGGTCTCCAGCAGTTTGCATGGATGGCCTTGCCATACGTGTCACTCTGGTCCCATACGTGTCACTGTGGTCCTCTCACATTTGAAAGGCTCTGCCCACTCATCAGCTTGCAGCTCTCTGGAAGGATGTTGAGTATGGGAGAGACAGTGTAAGGTACTACATTAGGACCTTGTTCTGCCATCCAAGAGCTGAGCATCATCCCTTAAGCTCCTTCCCTGACCTACTTCGTCAGCACTTACATGAGATATAAGAGATGACTGGCAGCTATCAAACCATATTGCCCATATACATTTACATGTCTGTCTTCCTGTACTAGGTGGTAAGGTATCTTAAAGCAAATTCTCTATCTTACATGATTTTCTATCCTCAGTATTTAGCACAATGCCTGGCACATAGCAGTCTCTTAAAAAAAGTGTTTATTAAATGAAAAAGTGTTGAATAAATATGGTGGCACATTAAGAAATCACTATAACCTGAGAGATTGACTCTGATTCTACCTAGAGCATGCTAACATACCTTCACCATCCTGGCTTAACATCTCTATTCTGGAGGACCACTTTGTCATTTCATTACAATCAGCATTCATATTGTCATTAAATGTTCCCAGACTCAAAGCACGGTCACATCCATTAATTCTAGAGATCCTCTAAGGCATTCTAAGTGGCAGGATAGGTTATTCTTATTACTCTCATTTTGCAGATCAGGAGAAAAGGGATTCAGAGAGGCTAAATGATCTGTCTGCGTCTCCACAGCTACTGACTGTGAAGCTGCACACAAAGTCGGCGTTCTTTCTCCTCACAGCACAGTCTCTTTTCAAAATCTTGTCAACAGTGTCTATGGCACATCTACATGGTGCACACCACACTGTGTACATCACATTCGGGAACGCATCCAACAATAAAGAACTCATACTTCACGTGCTACTTTTGAGTCAGTCACTGTTGTAACTAATTCAGTCTCCTAACAACACTGTGCCTTATTATGCTCATTTTAAGCATAGAGAAATTGAGGCACAAGGATGATATTAGATTCTCTAATGCTGTTTAAATAAAAAATCCACCAAGCCATAGGCTTGATTTGTTTTAACCTCCACACATGTGAGAGAAAAGGAATGAGCTGGTATGGCTTGACAAAGAAAACTCTGAAGTAATTCTGCTTCAAAAATCAATTTATCCGTTTAAATATTATTACCAGGGCCACGTAATAAATAAGGCAACCAATCAGAGTTATAGTCGTCTTAGATATTGTAATTCACAGGACATAACAACCTTTGAAGTTCACACAGCATATCCTTTTTATGTATAACATTTGCGAATACATTTGATGAGGAAAATATTATCTGCTTTTTTCAGTTGAGAGAGAAGAGGGAACATTTCTACTTGGTATGTCAAAATGTATTTCACCTGTAGCTAGCTAGAAAGTGGCTAGTTTCAAGGTTCACTGTTGGAATTTCATTGCTTAACATTGAGAGAAAAGAATAAACAAGCTTGAGAAGCGCAAACGTTACAACGTGGAAAGCAAAATGGCACAAAAGAATTACTAACAATGGAATATGGAAGATAAAACATTTTCATCTATAACTTGCACTGGACATATAGGGGCAAGCCACCTTCCTGGAAAGTACAAAGCAAAAACTCTAAATAACAAGAGCTTTCTGGACCTGGTGCCTCACGCCTATAATCCTAGCACTTTGAGAGGCTGAGACCGGTGGATCACTTGAGGTCAGGATTTCGAGACCAGCCTTGCCAACGTGGTGAAACCCTGTCTTTACGAAAAATACAAAAATTAGCCACGCGTGGTGGGGCACACCTGTAATCCCAGCTACTCGGGAGGCTGAGGCAGGAGAATCGGTTGAACCCCGGGAGGCAGAGGCTGCAGGGAGCCAAGTTCGCACCAGGGCACTCCAGCCTGGGCGACAGAGCAAAACTCTGTCTCAAAAAAAAAAAAAAAAAGCTAAATAAAACTTAATACATATTACTAGGTCATATAAGATTTATTTGCAAATAAGTCATATTAACAATAATATGGTAATTTCAGAGAAATGAAGTAGAATCCCCAGGGAAGGGATCTGGGAGATATGTCTTTGTTCTCAAGTGTTCTTCATAGATAAGAGACTTGCGTAATAGACAATTACCTTTCTAATCAGGGGCAGAATGTTCATTTCTATTCTCTCACATGGACTATAGAATCTTCCTAGGTAATTTAGTTATTCATGATTTACTATGTGCTGGGTATCGTATGTGTATGTATATGAACACATACACATATACATACACATATACACACACAGAAGAAAGAGAAGAGACAGTAACACTTAAAATACAGCCTGTCATAGTATAAATATTCAATAAATGCTGCTGTTCCTATTAACTCTGCTTTAAGAATGTATCTGAATGTTTTAAAAACGTTTGGATACCCATGTAAAAGGAAGGCTTCTGTTGGATAGTTTGAGCTATTCCTTCTTTGGGAGAGGGACTGGACTAGATCAGCATTTCCCAAAGTGTGTTTTACAGAACACTAAACAGCAGGATTGTAGTAGATTGCTACTATAGCAGGTTCCTTTGTACTTCTTCTTCACTGAAGAACTTCTAAAAAACATGTTTATGTGTGTGCATTGGAAATCTCCTAAGGCAGATGAAGTCTATGGTTTTCACAAACATTTCGACCACCAAATCCTACATAAGGAGTATCTTACAGGATATCAGAAGTGGGAAATGCTTGAGTAGATTTTTTATTATTAGTATTTCAGTCTAGCTCTATTGTCCAGGCTGGACTGCAGTGGCACAATCTTGGCTCACTGCAACCTCTGGGTTCAAGCAATTCTCCCGCCTCAGCCTTCCGAGTAGCTGGGACTACAGGCGCCCACCACCATGCCTGGTTAATTTTTATAATTCCTATAATTGACCATTTCCTACATTCTTTGCCTGTACAGAAAGGGAAGCAGCCTTTTACTATGTTTTACAGTTATGGGTGCCCTCTGGTGTTCATGCATTGTCAAAACATATTACTTAGCAATCTGAAGATGGAGGGTCCCGAAGCTCCATTGCCGGGATATATACCAGGCCCAACCCTTGTGCCCACTGGAATTCCAAAATTAAAGTAGTTAAGATGCTCAAAGACAAAAAAATCGTCACCTAGGGCTACATCTTATACACGTATTATGAGTGATCTTTTCTAATTTCTCTTTTATGTATTCTATTTCTCAGGGATCTGTTGCAGAAAAAACTTCAATAACTGAATCTTATTCTTGAAGTATTCATGAAGGAGAATTTAGGGCATTCAGCATGCAGTCACATAAACTAGTGCGGTTACCTCCTCAGGCTGTCTTTCTGCAGAAGGAAAGATAGAAATGCTTCTCTCATTAACGCTTCTCTTATTATTTGTTTGAGTGCTTTGTTAGGAAAAAATGTGCGACCGA